TTTGGAGCCTTGAGGCAAAGTACTATAATTTACCAATATCATGAGTTAAATTAGAAAATGAGACTTAAAAGGCAAGGATATAAAAAAGGAAAGCTGTTATAACAGGAATGTGTTTTGAAGGAGCAAATGAGATACTGAGTTAGAGGACTTTTAGCCTGATTTTTTAAAAACATTTCTGTGACTCTACAAAAGGTCATTTGTGGTGCATTCTGACTGAGAAGCATGATCAGATAAAATGGGAAATTAATTTCTTTTAAGTGATACTAGACATTATCATATACTTTAGCCTAATCATACAAATGACTTCATATTAGCAGACCTGCCAAAGATAGGAATTACAGAATCAGTGAAGACACTTTAATATGTCCAAAAGGGGGGAGCAAAGATTAAACTACTGGAGTAAAATTTGATCGTATGCCATCAAAATTTTAAATTTTTTCTTTTAAAAAGTTTTATTTTGGTATAATTGACGTACATTTTACATATTTAAAGCGTCCACTCTGATTAATTTCAACGGTGACTCTTAAAATGATCTTCACAATATAATGAACATCTGTATCACTTCTAACCTTCTTTGTTTCCCTTTTTATCATTTCTCTCACCACTTTCTACCTTCATCTATCCCTATTCACAGGCAGCAGACACTGCATACAATACACAGACTTCTTTGTGTGTCTTTGTGTGTGTGTGTGTGTGTGTGTGTGTGTGTGGTGATTGGGCCACACTCAACTGTACTCAGGGCTTGCTCCTTGCTCTGTTCTTAGGAATCACTCCTGCAGAGGCTCAGGGGGTCAACTGAGGTACCAGGGATGTGAGATAAAAGCCTTGCCTGTTGTACTCTCTCTGTGCAGTCTTGCTATCACTATATTTTTATTTCCTAGAATTTGATAGGTATAGAATCATGTACTGTATCTTTAACCAGGTTTTGGGGGTCTGGTTTATTTTTCTAAGTTTAACTTTTTGAAGTTCATGTTGTAGTATATTCCATTGTATGGATATACCTTAGTTGGTTTGCCCACTTATCTGTTGGTAATCATTTGAATTGTATCCAATCTGGGGCTACAAGAGCAAATTTAAGTAAATAAGACTGTACAGAAAAATCTTTTGTCTTGATTAAGTAGGATAATATGATGTTATGAATGCAATTATTAAATACTAAAATTGCTCATTTTCTTTTTAAATTTTTTTATTGAATCATCATTAGATAGATACAAGCTTTCATAAACTGTTTATTTTCAATGTACTATTCTGTAGTTCTTGAAGAACGACATGAGAGATTAATTTTCTATATCTTTACTAGTAGTTGGCATTTTTATCTTTTAACTTCAGGCATTCTGTATAACTAAGTATATATCCTATGTATTTTGTTGTTAAAATGCTGGATGCATTAATTGAATTTTAAGTTATATTGATTTATTACTATAATTTTACATTTCCCCACTTGGTCATGGTATGACTTTATGAAGATTGACAATTGTTTTTCACCAATATTCATCACTGTCACTGTCACTGTCCTCCTGTTGTTCATTGATTTCCTCTAGCGGGCCCAGTAATGTCTCCATTGTGATAATTGTTACTGTGTTTGGCATATCGAATAGGTCACAGGTAGCTTGCCAGGCTTTGCCATGCAGGCGAGATACTCTCAGTAGCTTGCTGGGCTCTCCGAGAGGGGTGGAGGAATCAAACTCAGATCAGCCATGTTGGCTGCTTGCAAGGCAAATGCCCTACCCGCTGTGCTATTGCTCCAGTCCAATATTCATAAAATATATTATTGTACTTTTTGTCTTACAATGTCTTTAGTATCTGAATCATACTAATCCTGTAAATCTGAAATCATGAGTTGCTTAGTATTGCCTCTTTCTCAGTTTTCTTGAAGAATTTGCATAGGATAAATATTAATGATTTAATGTATTAATTCATCAAAGCCATTTTGACCTGAAATTTTCTCAATACAGAAGTTTTAAACTAGTCCCATAGCAGTGATTGGGGGACTACGCAATTCAGAGATTAAACTCAGGCTCTGTCTATACCTGCCAGGTCCGTACTCCAGTTGTTTCTCCAACTCTTAGTCCTATGTATTTCTTTCTAATCATTTCTTTAGCAATATCAAGATTTTGGAGAGGTTTTTGACCTTTACTTTCTATTTTTACTCTCTCTCAACTCATAGTTTATTTTTATCCAATATTCTGATCTCTACCAGAAATATTATTTATTTATATGTATCACTGTGCTCAGAAAATATATTTTGCATGAAATTGTTTCAAATTCTATTGAGGTTTAGTTTATCACCCGAATCTAGGTAAATGTTTCATTGGAACTTGGATTTGTATTCAACTATTGGATGTTTAGTTCAAGGAACCTTGATTTTTTTATGTCTAAATCTATATAATCCATAATGCATCTTACAATTTGTCTAGTTGTTCTCTCCAGTGTTGGGGAGGGGATGTTAAAACTTTTGTATTGAAATTGTAGATTTATCTAATATTTTTTCAGTGCAATCAGATTTTACTTTCTATACTTTGAAGTTTTAATAGTACATAAACATTGAGAACTGTTATATCCCTTAATGAATCAAATCCTGTAGCACTGAAAAATTATTTTATTGCATGTTTTATGTACTTGCTTCTAAATGTACATCTTCTAAATTCTTTGATATAAAGATAGCTATTGCAGTTGTTCTTCAGTTAATATTAGATGATACATTTCCCCCACCTTTTTTCTTTTAACTTTTTTGTAGTCGTCTGAAATATATTCTTGGAGGAAAGAATATATTTGGGTTTTGCTTTTCTTCTAATTTATAAACATTTTAATTGAAGGAAATTAGAGCATTTATATTTAATGTCTTAGGGGTCAGGATTTAATGTTCTTAGCGACAGATACATGCCTTCCATGACATCGGTGGCTCAATTCCTGGCACCACATATACAACAAAGAATTTATTGAATTCATTTAGTATGTATGTATTAGTATGTATTAGTATGTACTAGTATGGTTAGATTCAGATTACTTCCCTACTAAATTGTTTACTTGTCTTTTTTTGTATCTTATTTAAATTCTTTTTGAATCAATTGAATATTTTAATAGTTCTAGTTTATGTATTCAATGGGCTACTACATTTTAGGATTCAGAAAAACGCATCTTTAGTCATAAGTGTAACCTCAAATGGCATTTTACATTTCCCTTGGTATAGGAATTTTATGATTGTACTTCTATTTATTCAATTCCAAGATTCTACCTTTTCTTTTGTATAAATTTTATACATTATTATTTTTGTTTTAAGTCAATTCTTTTCTGCTTGAAAACAACATTTGCTATGGTATTCATTAAATTTGCCCCGATATAGGTATTCAAATAAATAAAATGATAAAAAGAAATACAGTAGAAGTCACTATATACTTCTTGTATTGACATTTAAAAAAATGCATCTTTAAGGGCAGGAGAGATACCTCAAGGAGATGGAGTTTATACCTTATACATGCTTGGTCTAGAGTTTGACATCTGGCACTCCATAAGCACCCTGCTCCAGGCTGTTAGTTTCCCAGTACACTGGGTCTGACCCTCATTGTCTCTGGGCACTTTTGGAGGAGCCCTCCTGACCTCTAGCAGCTCTGGGTCCAACAGCACTAAATTGTCAGCCTGAGTTCTCGTCAAGCCAGCATAGCCTGACCAAGTGTTATCAGAATGGTCCCCAGGTTCTTTGAAAACTCCTTTGGAAGAGACCCCTACCCCGCAAAAAAAATTTGAATGTAAAAAAAATGTTTTCAGACTAAGTTGATAGTCCAAAGGAGTATGAACCTCACATGAAAGCCCATGTCTCGAATGCATGATCTACTGTACAGAGGAAGCCTGGGCTGGCTCCTAGCACTGCATATTCTCTCCACATACCCAGGGACACAACTATTCAAGCACATACCAGAAATAGCCCAAGCACTGGCCACACGGGTTGTGGCCCAGAAACCACACCACTTTTTTTCTCCTGAAAAAATTTATATAAAAAATATTAATCTTCCCAAACTGCTTGCCTCACATATTTATGAATGAGTTAGTCCTTACTACTTAAGTTCTTACACTAAAGACTATTCTTTTTTTTTTTTTTTTTTTTTTTTTTGCTTTTTGGGTCACACCCGGCAATGCACAGGGGTTACTCCTCGTTCATGCACTCAGGAATTACCCCTAGCAGTGCCCGGGGGGACCATATGGGATGCTGGGAATCAAATCCGGGTTGGCCGCATGCAAGGCAAACGCCCTACCCGCTGTGCTATCACTCCAGCCCCCTAAAGACTATTCTTAATAAACTATGGGTTTAAAGCTCTATATGAAGTATTTATGTACATGTTTTATATATACATATATATATCAAGTTAAAAAATAGGAGAAATTTTTTAAAAGTACCTATCCCCCTCCACAAAAATTTAGTGTAATTATTAAGAGCATGCAAATTATCTAGAATAAATTAAACTTGGTGACTGTTTTCCAGGAAATTATCTAAGGCGTGGGGCTATTAAATTTGTTATAAGAATTTAAAGGTTCCACTGAATATACAGTAAAGATAAATGGCTCTCTAATCTATACAAAAGGGGGCAGAGGGGTCCATTAAAACAATAAGATTTCCTCAGTTTTAGTATGACAATTATACATTGTTAAATGTGATATTAACAAGGTGGAAGAGGCAAAGGGAATCAAATCCTGATCTAGAAATAAGTATTAGAAAATAATCTGATGAAATATTCCCCAGACGGAAGCTGTATCTCAGCGGAAACGGAGCAGGATTTGCTGGCCATGGAGTGAGTGAACACCTGAAGTTAAAGCCCAACTTTTAGCTGTTCATGTTAAAAAACAAACTTAATATTGTTCTGGGGGGTTTCTGCTGTATTTTATTTGTTCCAGGTCACAGGCTTATGTGTAGGGTTTTTTAAAAGTCATGCAGCAAAGTGGTTTAGGTCTATGACAGTGTTGTCACCCCGAGACAAGAGTTGCTGGATTCTTTATGCAAAAAAAGTTCACAAACTCATGGCGTATCTTGCTCCGATTAACATTATCATGCTACTCACTATAAAAAACCCCAAGGGCAAACTAGAGAAGACAGAACCGTCACCACCTTCAGGAAGTGGAGGCGTGACCCAGCCCATCGACTTCTGCACAGCTTTCTTCCAGGTGCTGAAACGAGCGTTGCTGTCTTCGACCTGGATCTGCGGTTCGATCTCTTCCACCTCCAAGGGCGTTAATTCGTCTGGTTTCAGACTCCAGACATTCACTCCTTCTGCAGCTCCTGCTGCCAGGGCAGCCCCCAGCGCCGTGGTTTCGGGCATGCAGGACTTGAGGACCGGGATATGGAGGATGTCTGCTTGCAGCTGCATCAGGACGTTGCTTTTGGTCATGCCTCCATCCGCCCGCAGATGCGTGAGTGGCGTGCCGTAGTCGTGGTTCATGGCATCCACGATCTCTCGGGTTTGGAAACAGACGGCTTCTAAGGCCGCGAAGGCGATGTGGTTCTTATTGGTGAACTGAGTGAGCCCGCAGAGGATCCCTCTCGCGCTGGACTCCCAGTAGGGCGCGTATAACCCCGCAAAGGCCGGGACGAAGTAGCAGCCGTAAGACGTGCCTGCCTTGGTGGCAAGCACATCGATTTCCTCCGGGGCCTTGATAATTCCAAGATTGTCCTTGAACCATCGAACCAGAGCGCCGGCGATCGCCACGGACCCCTCCAAGGCATAGAAGACGGGCTTTTCTTTGCCGAGTTTGTAACCCACAGTTGTCAGGAGGCCGTGCTCCGAAAAGACACACTTCTGACCCGTGTTACACAGCAAGAAGCAGCCCGTGCCGTACGTGTTCTTGGCCTGTCCTTCCTCGAAGCACATCTGTCCCACTAGCGCGGCGGACTGGTCCCCCAGGCACCCGGAGATGGGCACCCCATCCAGGGCGCCGCCCTTGATCAGGCCGTAGATCTCGGAAGAGCTGCAGGCGCTGGGGAGAATGTGCATGGGGATTTCGAAGAAATTGCAGAGCTGCTTGTCCCAGGCCAGGGTGTGGATGTTGAAAAGCATCGTTCTGCTGGCGTTGGTCACGTCGGTGCAGTGCACGCCTCCGTTGGCCCCGCCCGTCAAGTTCCAGATGAGCCACGAGTCGACGGTGCCGAAAAAGGCTCGTTCTTCCTCGATCGCGCTCTGCACCTCTTCCACGTTGTCCATCAGCCAGCGGAGCTTCACCGCGCTGAAGTTGGTGCTCAGGGGCAGGCCCGTCTTGGACCTGACGAAGTTGTTGTTGCCCGGGATTCTTCTCCCGAGAGTCTGGACCGTGTTCTGGGTTCTCAGGTCAAGCCAGAGGATGGCATTGTACAGCGGCTCCCCGGAGAACTTGTCCCAGACCACGGTGGTCTCCCTCTGATTGCTGATCCCGATGGCCTTGATCCGGTTGGGTTCGCCCAGCTTCTCGCACGTTTTCTCGATACATTCGTAGACAGACTGGAGGATGCCCTTGGGGTCTTGCTCCACCCATCCTTCCTGCGGGCACTCCTGGGCTAACTCCACCTTGTGGAAGCTCACCAGCTCTGCTGTTTTTGCACAGAAGACCAGAAAGCGAGTAGAATTGGTTCCCTGCACCACCGCGCCCACTAACGGCCCCTCAGCTGTGCCCTCGGGGTCCGCCATGAACCCAGGACCGGTAGGGGCAGCTGCTGCGCTTCTGTTTCCCTGGTGACAGGCGCTGGGGGCGCGGGGCGGGGGGAGGGGGGACGGGGAGCCGCGAGCACATCCGGGCACTTGGCTGGCAGCGCTCCAAGGGGCTTCCTGAGCAAGCAACTGTCTCCTTCCGGGTCGCCGCCGTGCAGGGGGAGGTGACCTTTGCCCTTTAAACTCTGCTGCATTCTCTCGCCTCCCCTTCCTGACCCACTCTCTATCTGTATCATACACACACACACACACACATATACACACATATGCATATATACATACACATACATATATACTCATTGTTACATACATACACACATATATGATAGATTTGCTTTGGGATGACACCTAGTTTTGCTCAGGACTCATTGCATCCTTGCAGGACTGAGGGACCATATGGATTGGCAAAGATGGAATCTAGCAATTGCCCACTGTACTATACTCTCTCTCTCTCTCTCTCTCTCTCTCTCTCCCCCCCTCCCCCCCTTCTCTCTCTAAGGAGATTTAAGTTGGTTTTTTTTTTTTAAATGTAGGAGTACTGCTATTTATTCAGCCACTGATTGAATTGGGCATGAACTCCACAGGAGATTTCAAGTTTAAATAAAAATTAGCAGTCTATTTCTTGCAAAGAATCATTAAACACCCAAGAAGATTTTTCTCATCATCATTTGGGTTATGTGTTTCTTGGGTACTTGATTTTACTTGGTTGAATACTGGATAATTTGTATTCCTATAAACCTTGATCTTTGTCTTGGAATGCCATTAAGTGGCTTAGGAATTGTGTGGTGCTTTTGGATTTGTTTTTAAGGTTTGTTTGGTGGAGTAAGAACAGTGCTCTTTCTGCAAAGTAATTCATCCCCTTCACTGTAATGTATCTCAAGGGCTCTCTACCTGAAGTCCACTAAATATGAAGTTTTTAGGCATGTTGAGAACAGCCTCTGTCCTCAGGCTTGGGTAAACACCAGATTCTGCCATCTATCACCTTTTCATGTGTAGACTTCTGCAACTTTCTGTAGTTTCCTCACATATATGCTCGGATCTGATCAGTACCCAACTGAATACTCAGATTTTTAACTTTGAAAAATTTCTGGTTGTTTGTCTGGACAGTTCTTTGCTGTCTAGGACCAAGTTCTGCCCTGGTTGCTTTTCTCCCTCAGAGCCCTTTCTCCTCACTCAGCCTTCCCACTGGGCTCCACTTGGGTTTCTCATCCCTGGTGGTGGTGGGGGCTCCAGGTCCCTCAAGTTAATATTCCGGAGTAGCCATAGTATATATGCCATTTTTTTCCTGCCTCTTAGAGATTGTTTCCCACCATTGGGTGATATCCTGTATGATATGAATAGTGTTTATATGTTGTTTAAATTATGTAAACTTTAATATGTTTGCCTATTTTTGTATTGATTTGGAAGGGAGAATAAATATTCCTTACTTCTTGGCCAGAGTTAAAATCCACCAAATAGAAACTAAAATATTCAGGTAGATTAGAAATTGATAAATAATGCTCATTTTAGTCTCTAATAAAATTAAAATATTTATCTACTCAGTTCATCTACTCAGTGGAAGGTTAGGACTGCATTAGGCCATGGGCAATACTTGTGAGTTAGTCCATGGGTGAAACTCTCTTAGCCTTAGTGAAACCAAACCAAACAAGATAGACGATATCAATAAAGTCAACTGTGACATTATAATTTTACTATTTTAACCGTTATATTTTCCATTTATGTAAGTCTTTCAGTTAATTTTATGAAGTCAGCAAAGCAAAATAAGTGAATAGACTTAAACTGAATAGTAGGGAGATTAAAATAATCAAAAAGTATTTTCCCAAGCAAATGGACTATGTTAAACCGCGCCACCAAGCCTGCCCGGAGGGGAAAGGGTGTTGACCGGCCCGCCCGCTCCTCTCTGGAAAGAAAGATGGCGGCCGCACGGGAGCCTTGTGGACAGCCGGTTTGAGCCGGGGTGGGCGAGAGCGGCAGGGACCTCATGGGAAGGGGGGCTTTGTGGGCCGTCCCCCATGCCCCACCGAGGTCACCAGCTGCCCCCCACGAGCGGCTCTCCGGCACGGCCACGACTCCAGGGCACAGAAACCAATCTCTTAACTATCTAACTTTTAATAGAAATTCTTCCAGGGTCAATAAGTAAAATAGCAGAAATTCAAAACCGCGCGGCTGCTATCGCGGTCGCGCGACATCTTTTTATTCTTAAACCAAGTTGTAGAAAGCAAATCATTTCACAACGCTGTTTCAGCATGTCTGATTGTGGGGGGTGGGTCGTAAACTCTAAACAATAATTGTGCATCTTCTATTGAAACAATCTATCTAGTCAAAGTAGATAGAGTATTAACTAGAACTCATCTGCCTCACAAGAATTGGGAGGGGTGGGAGGTGGGGGTCTATTGGGGTTCGGGGTTAAAAATAAGTATTGGTAAAGGGAAATGTGTTTGATATTTACATGACTGAGACCTAAACCCGAAAGCTCTGTAACTTTTCCCACAGTAATTCAATAAATAAATAAATTATAAAAAAAATAATAATTGATGCTAAAAAAAAAGTATTTTCCCAATAGTGAATAATAAGAATCTTATTTGCCCAGTTATATTTTATCAATCATATTTTTGTTCAATATGTTCAATATGTCGTGTTTTATAGACAGAAATTTAGGGACAACGTATCACACTACAACAGAATTTGCATGGAATAGAATATTTTTTACCTTTTACTATCTCTGGCTTTTTAAGGGGACAGAGGGATAGTATGGAGCATATGGAGCTTGCACACACATGACCCAGTTCATACATGGATACCCAAATATGACCCTGAGTTACCCCTAAACACTTCTTGGTATAGCCTAAAAACTCAAAAGAAATTGTTTTATAAAAATTGTTTTTACTTTCAAGTGTTTGCTAATAATAAACATTTGAGTATTGGTTAATTTTCTATACTACATTTTATGTATAGATTATATTAGTAATTATCAATTCTGTATAATTTTTACAATGGAAATACTTGACCCAGATTTTCTTCTTCTTACTTTCTCTCCTTAGCACCCTGTACACATGACTGTTTACCATTTTAATTGGGTTTGAGTCTAAGTATTATTCTTTCAGGCAATTTTCATAAAGTTACAAATTCTCTCTGATAAAGACTAGTTATATATTCACTCACTGTTGATACATTGTAAGTCGTATGATAGATATATAATAAATGTCTCAGTTTAGTTTAGAAAAAGAAGTTGAGTAGATTGATGTCATTTTCTTAGACAATTGGAAAATTGTAATTGTAATTGGAAATCATTGATGAATTAACCGGAAATAATAATCATTTTTTAAACTAAGAAAGCTTGATTCTGCTTTTTTAACTTGAAAAAATAAAAACAAAAAATGCTTTTTAGTCTCTAATACCTTTCTTACATTATAATTTTAATACCTTTAAAATATTTTTTTTTCTTTTTGGGTCACACCCGGTGATGCTCAAGAGTTACTCCTGGTTCTGCACTCAGGAATCACTCCTGGCAGTGCTCGGGGGACCATAGGGAATGCTGGGAATCGAACCCAGGTCAGCTGCATGCAAGGCAAATGCCCTACCCGCTGTGTTATTGCTCCAGCCCCCTTTGCAATAATTGTTAACCCTACCATTTTTCATTGAGTTTCATGAGGAAATTGTCATTTTATTTACACTATACTCAGAAAATATTTAGAAACTTCAATGGTGAATATACTGTTCAGCTTAGTTTAAAAGTTCAAATATTTTTCAAAAATACTTTTAATACAAGGTTTTTAAAAATAGAGTTCTTTAAATTAATTGACTTTTTATTGTTATTTGCATGCTTTTAGGACTAATTTTCTAGAGTGCAGCTACAACTTTTTTTTTTCAGGTTTTGGGCTTCTCCCAGCAGTGCTCAAAGCTTACTCATGCTCTATGCTCATGGTTACTCTAACTGGTACTTGGGGAACCTTATCTAGTGCCAAAATAAAATTGGGGCCCAATGTGTGCAGGCAAGCATTGCTTAATTCCTAGAGTGCCTCCCTGGCCCCACTTCTTATTACAAAATCTTTGAAACGATGATCTCAGTGTACTGTACAGCTTCATTCATTCATTTAGTAATTTAGCAGATATTGTGGAGGGGGGCATGGTTCACTATATAGGGTGTTTTGTAGGCAGTCATATTTTGGTACATAAAGCATTTTCTTGGGTTAAGCATCTAAGTTAGAAAGTTTCAACAAAATGTACTCATCCATATTGACATCATCATCTTATATGCCTTATGTTTTAGAGGGCCATTAACTTACTATTTTTCCCTTTCGGGTTCATGAAATTATAAATTTAGTGAGGCCAGAGATCTTGGCTATTTTATTTAATCTTGTATCTTTAGCACTTTGAATCCTGGTCCAGAGCAGAAACTCAAGGAATCTTTGTTGAATGAATTAATGAGTAGTAGTTGTCATAAAGTCATACAATTCTGATTTTGATTGCTTGGTTGGCTGCTGTTTAATCATTTTATAATCTAATATAATAAAATAGATTGATTAATAATAGGGTAGATAAATGGAAATACGTGCTAAAATCTGTAGAGTAAGATATTAATTGTAGAATGTATGGAATAGATACAATGGTATTAGTGATGAAGTTTTTTGGATTTCCCTGCAGATTTCTATAACCAATTAATGGTAAATTGTGGTGCAAATAAAAGACTGATCAAGTTGCAAAACACAGAGATGTTTCAAACAGGATCCTTTGTTTGGAGGGATAACTGAGAGCCATGATTGATCTGCGAAGTTTAAATCAATTTGGCAGATTCTGTGATGGGAAAGCCTAGTTAAAGTTGTTCATCTTAAGAAAACTACTCACTGTGAATCATTTTTCTTAAGATAGGTGCACTTTCATCATAGGAATATTCTCTGTCTTTTGTAAACCTTGTAAATCTTAGAAAGCTGCCTACTTAATTCCTTGGCTTTTAAGAGTACCAGGCATTCAAGAATATT